CAGCCCTCTGATTGGTCCCTGCCAGGGGCGGGCGCTGTGACTGGAGAGCGAGTGGTAGTTGCCATTGGTCAGACTCCCTGAGGTAATGTAGATTCTCATTGGCGGAAGGCTCATTCCTGCTTGCTGATTGGCTAATGAGCAGCGCGGTGGTGCTTCCCTTTCCGGTGGCGCTGACCTTGCCCGGGAGCGGAGCCGCAGCCATGGTGGCGTACTGGCGGCAGGCCGGGCTCAGGTACCCGCCTGGCGGCGACGAGGCCCCTCTCGCCGCTTCCCTGCAGTAGCCGTAGCGGCCGGAGGCGAGGGTCTGGCGCGGAGGGTTGGCGGGGTCACAGCGGCGCTTCCGGGGGCGGTGGAGGAGCTTTTGGGGCGGGTTTCTTTCTCACCGCCGTTTTCTTCTCCCTTTTCTCTCCTGTCTTTAGTTACATCCGGTATTCCCAGATCTGTGCTCAGGTGGTTAGAGCAGCGATGAAGCCTCAGTACAAAGCGGAGGCAGAGAGGGCGGCGATGGCCACTGTGAAAACTGTGAAACCCAAAAAGGAATAAAATGTAAGTAAATAGAGTGGGCTGGGGTGCCGTATTAGAGCTTTTTATAGGCGGAGTGTTGGTTTCCCAGTGTAAGGTTAATGAAGCACCCAGCTGCTTGGATCATTTCGTGCTCTGTGTGGCAGATCAGCTCTGATCTTCATGCATGACACTGGAATGGATTTCGGACCGGCTTAGTGCAGACATCTCTGCATCCTGATGACGTGTGGGATAGGAGACGGCTTAATCTCCTTAGCTCAGTAAAGTGAGATGTTCTGTCCATCAAGCCCTGCTTTGAACGATTTGGTGTTTGGTCGAAGTTGTTACGGGTTTAAGCAAAACAGCCGGGTTTGTGTAGTGAAGTTCATGGGTTTCCCGTCTCACTTTACTAAGCCGACGGACAGCCTCTCTGAACTGCTGTTTCCCCTATCAGCAGACTTACTTGCTTAAGGGTTATCTACTGTCTGTGAAAGATCGATGCTACTTGTATCTTTATTTGTGACATTGCATACATCACAAAGCAGCTGAAATCGCTCCTCTTGCAAGTAGAACAGCTTCTAGGCCTGATCTGAGATTAAATGTTATTGCCTTTTGTTTGAAGCATATCTTGTACGTATTCTTCAATTGAATAACTTCTATTTTAAATCTCGTAGGAACTGATCTGTGGTGAATTAACAGCAAACTGCAATGCTGTAGACAAGCTCAAGACTCTGCAATATAATGTCGTCGCATCAACTGTAAAACTTGCCTCTATGTAAATCAGTATGCTAATAAATGTAACTTCAGTTAAATGAATGTGTGGAAAGTGTTGTTCCTCTTGAAACAAACTACTCCATTTTGCAGAGATTTATCTTTCACTTGTGTTAAAAATACATGACTGTTAGCAGAATCTACCATTCTGTAGCAACATGTCTTTATTTTTCAGGCAAATCTTTTGTTGGATTTCATGCTGATATTTCAGATACATAAATGAAAGAGAAATTTAATTGTTTAAAACTTTTCTGCCTACTTCATTTCAGTGATTAATGATTAATTTGGAAAAAGTTTTCTGCACTAAAACCTATGTCAAAAGAGAATATAGGCAGGTAATTTTGATAATTAAAAATATCTCTGTCAGTTCTCTCTACTGGAAGTGGTATACTTGTTGGCTTTAAAATTCTCTGTTGTCATGGTGTTCATCTTCCATTTGGGCTTGGAACAAAACTCAGTGAAAAAACAATTTGGCAAGGTTTAGTTGGTTACGACTGAACTGGAAGCAGGGTATTTTGCTGTGGGTGTGCTACAGGGGATCTCATCTCCAGAGCTGTCTGAACACTGAGCAGTGAATCGGGAGCTGGAGACCTGGCGTCCTTTAAGAGGTGGAGAAGGAGGCACAGAAACCTCTGGGCTGTACTCTGATCACACATCTACTGGTTGTCCTTCGTGTTACCACTTTGTCACTTTACTGGGGGGAAGAGGGACATGCGTTCACTGGGGAGGGTGACTGCCACCACGTTTGCTTGGGAGCCAAAGTCGTACTTCCAGCCATGCTGGTTTAGGAGAGGTGTTTGCATGTTGCTGCTGCTTCACAGCACCTGTAACTGTCCCACTGCACCGGAGGAAATGGAGCACACTTACAGAATGTGTGTGTTCCCCTAGGCACTTCTGCTGTGGACTCAAGCATGAGGCATTACTTTCTTCAGAGTATAATAAACTCTCTCTTATAAAAGAATAATAAAAAAAGCTCAATTCTTCTAATGCATTTTAAAGTTAGTCCTTACAAGAATAAACTTTATTTTTGTCTATCAAATAGCTCAAGTATTAAAGTATTTTATAGAAGGCTATATAATTTTTATTTAAAGAATATTATAAATACAGTGTTAAGTAGATGGCTGTGACTGGCAAGAAAGGTTTTTCCTGGAAGTCAGGATATGTTTTTGATTTAGTGATTGCTGTTGAACTTAGATCTAACTAGCTGCAAACCATTCTATCCATTTTGCTGTAATTAACGATAGGAAAAAAATTACAGTAGTTAATACATGGGGAAAAAATATCACACCAAAGCTTTTACACAGTGTTCACAACTTTGTATGCTAATATAACTCAATCTATAGTTTGAAATAAAAACAAACCACACAATGATAATGAATGCAAGCTCTGCAATAATCTAAGACAGCAATGTGTTAGACTATTAAAGTACTTCCAGAAAAAGTAAGAATGTGCATATTCAGTCTTTTGCTGCATGTTGTTTTCCCCTCCCCCTGTAACTTAAGGAACTGAACTTGTCTGGAGATTTCCCTCAGTCTGTGGAGTGTGTAATAAAATAGGTGCTGGCCTTACAGGTGTGTCTGTGCTCCTGGAACAGTAACAAGCTCACAAACACAACACAGCCTGTGTTCACCTAAGAATAAATACATTTGATGAGTTGATAGCATATTTTGCTGTTGCTTAGGATCCTGATAGATACGCACAACCACAGAGGCTGTATGTTACATTCAGTATCTGGTGAGTCTAAAAGTGAATACATTTACAAGAAAGGCTGTTATGAGACTTATGTCTTCGTAGTGGCTCTTTTTTGGGAGAGAATTGGTGGCAACGGTTGTTCAGGAGAGTAAAGCATAGCTGCCATTACAAGACAATGCTTTTGAAATTAATATTGGCTATATTTTGGTCAGATGCAAAGAAACAATTCTGAAGAAAGGTGTATTTTTGGTGTGCAGATGATGGCTACTGTTTTTTCTTTAGTGAGTGTCAACAGGCTTATTAGGGGCATGTTTTGCTATTACCATGGGTTTTATAGTGCTTCCTTTTCTGAGCTGGCTTCCACTTCCACCTCTTCATATTCCTCAACATCTGCAGTGGCATCCTGGTACTGCTGGTACTCGGACACGAGGTCATTGGTGTTACCTTCTGCTTCAGAAAACTCCATCTCATCCATCCCTTCCCCTGTATACCAATGGAGAAACGCTTTTCTTCTGAACATAGCTGAGAACTGTTCAGAAACCCTGATGAAGAGCTCCTGAATGGCTGTGTTATTGCCAATAAAGGTAGCTGCCATCTTCAAGCCTCGTGGTGGTATGTCACACACAGCCACTTTGACGTTATTAGGGATCCACTCCACAAAGTAGGAACTATTCTTGGTCTGGACAGCCAGCAACTGCTCATCCACTTCTCTGGTAGACATTCGGCCCCTGAAGATGCATGCCACGGTCAAGTAACGTCCACGACGAGGGTCGCAGGCTGCCATCATGTTGCGTGCATCAAACATTTGTTGAGTAAGCTCTGGCACTGAGAGGGCTCTGTACTGTTGGCTACCTCGAGCTGTCAGTGGAGCAAAGCCTGGCATAAAGAAATGCAGGCGAGGAAAGGGCACCATGTTAACAGCCAGCTTCCTCAGATCTGCATTCAGCTGACCAGGAAAACGGAGCGAGGTCGTGACACCGCTCATCGTTAGGGACACTAAGTGGTTGAGGTCACCATAGGTGGGATTGGTGAGCTTTAAAGTTCTAAAACATATATCATACAGAGCTTCATTGTCAATGCAAAAGGTTTCATCTGTATTCTCTATTAGCTGATGGATGGAGAGGATGGCATTATACGGCTCTACGACCGTGTCGGATACTTTGGGTGAAGGCACAACACTGAAAGTGTTCATAATCCTGTCGGGATATTCTTCTCTGATCTTGTTGATGAGGAGCGTGCCCATACCTGAGCCTGTGCCACCACCAAGCGAATGGATGAGCTGGAATCCCTGAAGGCAGTCACAGCTCTCACACTCGTTCCTGACCACATCCATGACGTTTTCAATCAGTTCAGCACCTTCTGTGTAATGGCCCTTAGCCCAGTTGTTTCCAGCACCTGAATTACCTGTAAACAGAATTACAGAAATAACAGCCACAAAGTTAAGAAAATTTTGAAAGGCTATGAAGATGAGAGTTAAAAGGCCGCTTTAGGACAGTTGACTCTAGTTAGTGTGCTGACAGCAAGCTGTACATACCATGAATAAAATTGTCAGGTCGAAAGAGTGGGCCTATTTTGCTAGACCGTACACTGTCCATCGTACCAGGTTCCAGGTCCACCAAGATAGAACGGGGCACGTATTTATGGGCTAGGACAAAAGAAAATAAATGCAAAGAATTATTATTAGAAGTCAAAGAGACAGGCTTATAATCTACTCTGAAAAATCCAGCCCACCTATAGGATTTGGGATATTTTTTCTTTTAATTACTTACTATAATCTTCATGTTGGCTCTGCTAATTGCCATGCCAACACCCTATCAGTGCTGAGCACTTACAGTAAGCCTCATTGAAGTACACGTTAATTCGCTCAAGCTGCAGTGACGCATTCCCATGGTAGTTTCCAGCGATGTCAATTCCATGTTCATCACTTATCACCTCCCAGAACTGAAAAAAGGAAAGAAAGGTTCAATACATGCAAAGGTTGGTTTGTTTGGTTTTTTTTCAGGACAATGTGTTCAACACCAGCTCTCATGCCTGCTGACACGTAAAGTAGGAACTGTGCCTGAAGTGGGGGGTGTTTTGCCATTTATGTATTAGATCAGAGAGGGGCTCCTCTTCTCCCCTCTCCCCAAATAAGTGCAAGGGAAAAGTTTAGTAGACCATTTATGCTGTTTAGCCATTGCCCATGCACTAATAGGTGGAGGCTCTCAATTTGTTCTCTTTATAGTAAAGGAAAAATTGGTATTAATTTAAATAACACAGGTATTAGTTGATATGAGGTTAACAAAAACGTTGGGGCGGGGAGGGGGGGCAGATTGGGAGAGTTGTTTTGAAACCTTTCACATACAAGTGGGACTGTGGCATGGCAAAGCTGGCTCAAAGTTGTGTGTGAGCAATGCTTTCCACAAACAGATGTTGGTACTAAATGTTCTATCTTGACACTCATATGGATGTCTTGTACTGCGGCTCTTATCTAGGCAGCAGCCACAGCAGTCCTAATGTAGACACACCCACTCACTGTAATGACCAGGCTATTTTAATTTTAAAGGGCTTCTGGTTTAGCATGCAGCCTCCTTTTGAGTGTACAAATACACCATGCCAACATGTATGTGTGTGTGTGTGTGTGTGTGTGTGTGTGTGTGTGCACTTTTCTACAGGTCTCATCAGACGTAAGCAGTTTCCAGGTCAAAGCCAACAGGAAAAGTACAGACCTTCCAACTATGTCATGTCTAACATGACATTCCCTGTCCATCCACAGCTTCATGTTCCGGTAAAAATCAAGGTGAGGTTTATGGGAGCAAGAAATGGAGGAAGAACACAACGGTACAATCCTTCAGCTATCATATGTCTTCAAAGACGTCCCAGCCCCAAATTAAACCAGATACTTTTATTTGACAACTTCCTACTTATCGATAAAAAAAAAAAAAAAAAGATGGACACAGAGCAAAAAGCAATGCATTTTTTTTTTCCTCCTGGCACAGAAAGTCAGCGGTGAGTGAATTATCTCTAACTAACAGCAAAATACTCCAAAAGACACCACTACCTCTCGCAGAAGGCCTGTTGGGCAGGAACTGCACTTTGTGCTACTCTTAGAAAAACCTAACCGGTCACTGATAGCACAGGTCATTCTGTTGACTAATACAACCCCATATTAATTGCTATAATGTGGCAGAGTTACTGCTGTATGGCATCACAACTTTGCAGCCCTGGAATGACAGTGTTTTGCAGACTACATTAGTGTCCCTGGGAATATGGGTCTCAGCAGGAATGCCCCGGAGCACTTATAATCACTGTGCCATAGTTACTGCAGCTGTTTCATTCACTGACAGGCTTTAATTTAAAGGTTAATGTTTTAATCTTTGCATAAGGAGCAAGCCCATCTTATGACTTTAATATCAAAGTATTCATATTCACCGCTAATGTGCCATGCATCCTACCACTGAGTTAACAAATTGTTCCCCCCAAAAGTCCCCATCCCTTAATGATGTTTGACCTGCTACCACTGATCACACTTAATGACCAATATTGAAAAGAGACCTTACCTTAGCTCCGATTTGGTTCCCACACTGGCCAATCTGAAGGTGCACAATTTCACGCATTTTGCGTAGCTTAGACCTGTTGGTGGCCACAACCAGGTTTCCTAGTTGCAGAACAAGCCCTCTTTCTGGTGCTTTATCAGCTACACCCAGGGCAGTCTGCCCCAAGGGGCCTTTTTATACTGCAGGGACTGTCACTCAGCCAGCAAGGGGAGTAGCCACTCCTCAGAGTGCTCATCAAAGCATTTCGCAAGGCAAAGTGTCTATTCACTGCCTGTGTACAGCATACAAGAGCACAGGTACATTACTGAGCGGCTTGGAAGAGAAAATTGTCACATGCACCCCATTACAATTAATCCTAGTTCTCTGTGCAGCAAACAGTGTGATTCATTAATATCTGTGCACATTGTCTCTGTGTTTCATTATTTTATACATAATATATACCCATATATAGGGAGATTCTTAAAAGAATGAATGATCTTAATTTTTTAAGTACATGTGCTTCTGCTGCATAATTTAAATTTTAGCATCATATCAGTCATACGGGACAATATCCATAATAAAAACAATAATAACGTCTGAGCAGCGGCCTCCTATAACCACAACATTCAGCACATTGCCAGGCAAATTTGCAGTTCACTAATAAATATCATTCTCAGTGTTTAACTGCATGAAGGAGGGGGACAGGATCAGTAACAAAAAAACTCCACTTTTTAAAGCATAAATATAACATTGCACTCTCAGTGATATATGTTCCTTTAATGACAATCCACCTATTTCAGCCAATCTAAAATCTGAATCAACCTGTGACTAACTTGCACAGATGCTCTCTCTCTTCCTTTCCTGACATTAAGAAATACAGTATTTCTTACATATCTTGTGTTCTTATATCTGAGATGTAGTATTTCACAACTTGCCAGGAAAATGCTAGAGGTGAACACCCAGTTCCTCTGAAGTTAACTATAATGTTCACTGTGTGAAATATGTCACTCACTGCATTAAAGGAAACGATGCGAGGCTGAGCAAAACATGACACAGACATGTCCCCTGCTGATAAACAGGACTAATATCGCTGAGCAACAGAAACCCAGAATGGACTCTCTTCTGGAAGCTTATAGTAGTTTTACTACATGTCAGGCGATTGTCAGTGCTTTGAAAGTGTTCCTTTTAAGGATAGGAAAAGGAACTATAATTAGGAAAGCACCTTAAATTATTTTGTGTAAAAAGATGACAGTGGAAGGACTTGACTCATTGAGAGTAACTACCACTTTATGGGGTGCTAGAGATAAGGAATCTCTGACCTTCCATATTGCTCCAAAAGAAAAATCAGCTTATTCCAGACTTCCCCACCACAGATGACTTCCACTTCTTCCACCAGCAAATGGAGGAAAAGACAACTTCACCAGAAGCACACTGCAAAAAAGTAGCTAGTGAACATTCTGCTATCTTCTGCGAAGCTATGAGCCATACTCATGAGGGAGCAATAAATGCAAGACTTTAAATTCAGGTAGATTACTTCTGTTTCCCTAAAACAGAATAGTTTCATCATTTAAAAAAAAAAAAAAAAAAAAAAAAAAACTTTAAACAGTTGGGTTTAGCCAGCTAGACAAGGTGTTATGTTCGTTCCATTGCCACATTGTAGGTATTCTCTGCAATGGCAGTGGCTATCTTCTACAATTTCCTAAGACAGAATTCTGGAAAGCTTATTTGGACATTTACTTTGAAAGCACATTTCATTTTATTTATGCACATTTCATATTTATTTTTCCCAACTATGCTTAACTAAAAGTAATGATGTAATTCTGAGTTGTATATTCAATTGCTGCATTTGGAATGGGAGTTGCACTGACACAGCGTGTCAGATTGCTGCTGACACTAAATAACTACTACTTAAAATATTCAGTGTATTAATCTACCATAGCCACAATTTATGACGAGGCTGAAGAGGCTAATTCATTGTCCAAAAAATTTGGCAGGATAATTTCAGCAATAAATATACTCACTGAGAGTGTCTCACAAGCAAAGAACACAAAAAGGGAAGTGAAAGAAATATGCAATCACTTAACATTGGTTTTTCTCTTGCTAAAAATATCTCCCTGGAATCACGCACCTCCTCTGAAACACTTCCTTATAGAGTCTTAGAAATTATGGCACATGACACCAAGTACCTGAGGCGCTTTGTGAAGAGGAGGTGGTTTTGTGCCTCTTTTCCCTCTCCTCCTCAACTGTGACCCTCCAAGGCTGTCTTTATTCCAAACCTGGTATTTGAAAAGCCTGTTTCTGTGTAGATTTTGTTTGCAGGCCTGTCATTCCTCAGCTCTGAGAAACCTCAAGCCTGTTAACTGCCCAAGTGTGCTTCCCAGGCACGGCCATTGAACATGTGCTATTGCAGATTAGCGCCCTGAGCGTCACCAGAGAAAGAGGAGGTGGTGACGGAAGAGTTGGCTTCGAGGGACTTTTGGCACTGCGGAGATTAGGAGCAGCCTGGCACTGGGCACAGCTATTACCAGCCTGTCCCCAGGCTCTGTTATCAGGCTGCCCACTGCTTCTATTGCCTTCAGAGTGGGCCGTAGATATCAAAGTCCTGTTGCTGAACAACCCAGGGTTTTTTCAGCTTTTTTTTTTTAGTTTGTTTCTGGTTTTTGGTTGGGTGGGTTTGTTTTTTTTTGTTTGTTTGTTTTTGGTTTGTTTTTTTTTTTTCTTTTTTTTTAATGTGACCACAGTACTCACTAGCAACAAATACGCATGTGCAGGGACGAATTTTGTCAAAGAGCCAAAAAGGTCGACTGCACAGCAGCTGGGCTCAATTCTCGCTCTGCTGTTGTTTTTGCTGCTTTGGTTCTTAGTGCCTCAGTTTCTCTGTGCATGTGGAGTTAATAAGCCTCACGCCTTTCATAAAAAGTGCTGAGAGCTAAGGAAGAAACGCTGCGAGGGAAGAACTGGCTGTGGTTTACTAAACCTGTTTACCAAACATGAAAGCTCTAGTCAACATATGGAAACGAGACTGGTAGTCCACTCATGCAAATACTTAAAACCTTCTGCAGGAAAATTAGCAAACTACTTTTTAGTATTGTCTAAATCTTGTAGCAGATAATAAAGAATCTTCAAATGTCCTGAACCCTACAGAATAGCCTAAAAAACAGACGCAAGCCTGTATTCTTTTGTAAATTGTTGCATAAAAGGGCTTGAGACTTGGGACTAGCAAAAAAAAAAACCCAACCCAACCAAAAAACCAGCCTGCATGCTCTACGCAATCACAGTCGCTGGGCACAGTGTTAGGCCAAAGGTAAAGAAACCTGTAACACAGCCACAGGGGCTGCATCTCTCCCAGATACCTCTTGTCACAAACGCTGTGTTGACAGCAACTGCACAGATTGAATCACCGCAATATTTTAACACCTTTTCTTTTTTTTTTTTTTTCGCTTTTTTTTGGCGTGGGTTGTTTTGTTTTGGGGTGTGGGTTGGTTTGTTTTGTTTTTTTTTTTTGGGGGGGGATATATATATATATGCTCACTATTGCTCCATTTTTGAGCATGTGAGATGGAGCCTTCACCCAGGGGCACCAGCAGGCCCGTGGACGAGGCCCTTTCTCAGCCTCCGGCTGTGTTTGTTCCTTATCCCCCGCAGTCAATTACCGGGCACGGGCTCAGCGACGTGCAGGCTGTACTTGCCCCGAGTGCGGCGTCCGTCAGACACGGGCCGATAAACGCGAACTAAGGGACACCCAGCGGAGGCTCCGCGCTCCCGCCCGCCGCAGGTGAACCCGCAGCGCCCGCCCCGCCCCGCTC